GGGGGGAAATGAGGAGCTGATACCAAGGGCTCAAGTAGAAAGCAAATATTTTGAGAATGAGGGCAACAAATGTACAAATGTGCTTGACACAATGGGTGGATGTATAGATTGTGATAAAAGCTGTGTAAGCCTCCAACAAAATGATTTAAAAAAAAAGATTCAGCACTGGAATACGCTGTTTCCAGTTTTCTTTCCTCTCTCAATTATGAGATGTATAACAATAATTCTCCTCACCCCCACCCCCTGCTTCCCCCATTGACTTTGGGGGACATTCTCAAAAGACAGGTCCTACCTTGCCTAACCTCAGAGGTTTGACAGTGTGATTCTGGAGGATGTTCCTTCCAACACACCAAGATTTGCAGTGCAATTTCAGAAAGCTGTTTTCTTAAAGCATCCCACAGCAAGGACAGATGGAAATGGTTAGCACAGGAGCATCAAAATTAAAGTCAGATATTCTGAATTCAAATCTCAGCTCTATCATTAAGTGGCATGCTCTTGGAAAAGTAGCTTAGCTTATTGATTTTTTTGTGTGTCCATCTCTACATACTCACTATTGATATAAAGGTATCATCCTGAAATATTATTGTAGAAACAATAACTCACATGTCAAAACTAAATATGTCAAACAAGTAAAAAGTGATCACATTTTGTAAATTACACGATACAGTGGTGAGCAATTGTCACTTTTCCAAAGCACACAAAGCCTTGTTTCAGCAGTTCAATGTGTTTGAAATATATACACTACAAATGCATATGAAAAACCTCAAATACTTGCAGAACATTTCCATTATCTTTTTATTCCGTTTTTACAATCTTTTTGAAATCTCATGCATGTATGTATACATATAATTCTGTGTGGGAATATAATACATACATTATACATGTACACATAAACACAGAAAGGCTTTCAAAAACTTACTGGGAAAACAATGGAAATGAAAGATAATGAATTTTCCCATATCCTTTTTCAAGGAACCCCCCCCCCCCCCACACACACACACATAGAACCAACACAGATAATTTCCTAAAAATTATAATCAGCCAAAGATGCAGACCTCTGGAGGAGGTTGGAAAGGTTCATGAAGGTGGTTATTCAAGTCTGAAAATATAGGCAGATAGGGAATTTTGAAGCCGGAGGATGATGTTCTTTCCCTCACAGCAGGGCACCGAGCGTCCTTTGCAGACTTACCGGGAATGTGAGCATGATCCCTGAGAGAGACGGGGACATTCAGTGCAGACACGAAGAACCTCGAGGTAAGCTTATCAAAAAATCAAAGCGCAAGCACCTGACCTCATCTGAATTCCAGGGATTGTTTCTGGATATTTGATTCATTCCACACCATCATGTCCCATGGACTCTGGTACAGAATTTGGATCAATGATATCAGCTACAGTTCCACTAAATCATCATTCTGCTATACCAGGGAGGTAGTTTAGAAACAGTCAACAGAACTATATCCTTCGTAGTAAAATGAGACAGTGTTCAATTTAAATAAAGCAGGAACTTGTGGTTTAGAAGTTCCTACCGGATTCTGTAAGCTTGGACATGACACAGATTCAGGAAACCCAACGTTCACACTGATGAACTAGGAGGGAAGACGGGTGGCTCCAGAGGCAGAGAGGAAAGACACCCGGCGGTGCTGTGTCTGCTCTGAGAACTTAGGAAAAAAATTGGGTCCTATCCTGAGAACTAGTTCAAAATGGCAGAACATACAGTATAAAATAAAAATCGATTTTCAAGTGACATTATAAAGAAAAGATGGCACTAAATAGCTATATAAATGGCGTTTTCTTGATTAATTATAGGATTAAAAGCTGTAAAATTCCAGCAGCTTCCTGGCAGAGATGGGGAAAAAATCGACCCAGTGTGGAAAAAAAAAAAAAGAAATATGAAAGGAACAGAAAGACATTCACTGTTTTTAATGTTTTTGTAAGTAGTAGAGAGCTACTCAAAAGGTAGAGCGCATTGGCCAAGAAGAGTAAATGGCCTGTAGCCCAGGGATTGGCTGTTTTCTTAGGAGATTCAGAGCATCTGGAAAGGTCTCAACAATTTGCAAAAGAATGTCTCCTTCCCACAACTTTATTTTAATTGTAATCTAACCTGTAGGAAAATGTACATTTCATTGCTCTAAAGTCTTGGATAAGCTTGTAGTGTTTGCTTCCACCTTTCTGGACAGCCACAAAGTATGCAGAGGTATCTATAGGTCCACCTTGTATCTGCAGAAGGATACATTGAAGCAGATGGGCTCTAAAATGCTAGAGACATACAGGGCATGACCACATTTGGTCAACTTGTCTTTCAAGGTCTATGGATTTTGCTGATTTCTCTGGCGTTGATCCATTTTATTTTACAACTGCTAGGTGACCATGATCATTCATTTCTTATATATTAAATAAGTCATTTTATTTAAGTCTTACATGTCTGACATTCTAAGAAAGACTAGGGATTGGAGTAAACTGTAAAGTATTAGGTACCTGTGGACCTGGGAAATAGCCCTGGGTGGGTTTTCCAAAAACAGGGAAGGTAAAACACACTGGTGGTGGTTGGTTTGTGAGAAAGTAACTGAAAGTAGGCTCACTGGATCTAAGTCAGTGATAAAGGACGATGCCCATGTGGTGAGTGCAGGAGGCTACAGGTTGATGTGTGAGTCCATACACTTCACTGACCATGAAGTTAATTTTAAACAGGTAGAGTTTTCTACTAAATTAACCGAAGCGTTAAAAAGAGGTGGTTTCCTCTCAGGCAACTGTTTTCAAATCTGTTACATTGACGTATCTGATTTTTAGTGAGCCCTTCAAACCTCTGAACATCAGTTTTACCCCTGTGCCAAATGGAGGCATGCAGACCCCCGCACCTCTTCCTCTTCAGTTGCCCAGATAAAGAATCTAGCTTTGCCAACTAAGGAACTGGCATGAGAAGCAACCCGGTACTGTCTGCAGAGCAATCTCCTGAGAGCCTCATCAACAATCAGCTAGGCGAGCCTTTCTTTCCTCTACTCCCAAGCCCTGAAGAGCAGAATGATAAAACCATCAGGCACCAACAAATTCTTTTATAGAAATAGCTACCCAAATCTGTTAAAACCATCTGTTTCTTTGGCTGTTTTTTCCTTCCAGTGTGTATTCTTCCTGTGTATTTTGCTAACAACAAAAATCTATTCTAAATAACCAAGATGCCATGGCTTAAAATGCCAGAGGTATCTCTTGAGTTTATGAGAAAAATTGCTTTCCAAAGAAGATTTGGTTTATCTTATGTTCAGGAAGGCAGTATTTCCACAAATATTATAGTTACACCAGGAAAACAACCAATCACTTTCATTAAAAGAGTATGTAGCAAGGTTTATAATTGATTGTGCAACTGAATTTAATGCTTCTCAAACTTGTCACTCCCGAAAGCAATGGAAGCTGAACCCATCTATTTCCGTTGATAGACATGCTCTTTCAGTGTAGAACAGGTCTTCTCCCGACGTAAAACCACAGGTAATCAAGCTGTATGTCTGGATCATACCCAGCACCACACATACTTCCAGGAATGACTTTACCCCCATTTTGGAAGAGCGGATGGGAAGCAGAAAATGTTTATGGAGAGCCCGTCCTTGTGACTTACCTACTTTTCTGATAGCTGTTGTTTAAATGCTGGGGACATAGGATCTGCGACCTAAAAGCAGGGATCTATGCATGTTTTTTTGGAACCTTGGTGGCACAATGGTTAAGCACGTAGTTCCTAACTGACTGGTGAGTTGTTCAAACCCATCAGCCACTCCTGCAGAAGAAAAGACCTGGCGACCTGATTCTCTAAAGATTTCAGTATAGGAAATCTAGGGGACCCTTTGAGTTTGCCTTACAATGCTACCCAGGAGCTTTACTGGCACCATGCTTAAAGTACTCAGCATTAAACTGAAAGATGAATTGTTTGAGAGGGAAAGCGGTGGCTAGCTGCTCCATAAGTCTACTCTCTGGGAAACCCTACCGGGCGCTTCTTCCCTATGCTAGAGGGTTGCTGTAAGGCTGAATCAAATGAACAGACACACATTTATAGGGTCACTGTGAGGTGGAATTGGTTCAATGGCACACAAAAGTAACAAAAATAACATTTATGTTTCATTCTAGCCAGTAGTTTAATTCAACATATTCAAGTCACTGGTATCTCACCCACACATTTCTATATCTGATGATCTTGATAACTTAATTTTTTTACACAGATTCCATTCCATGTTCACAAGGTCCTTCAGAGGGCATTCTTCTTTGTCTCTTACCTCGGTTCTCCTTGGTTGATGGACATATATATCTCCCAAGAGTTCTCCTCTGGAATGGCGCCATGTGGTATGAGTAAACTCACTCCTAGAACCAAAAAATATCAAAATGGTTCAACATGCTTCCAATTATCTTGAAGCACCTCAAAATGGTATGGATGCTCATAAAAGTACCTTCTTACAACAATTCATGAAATCCCAATCTTTGGAAAATCTATAAGGTCCAAAAGAATTAGGGAGTAGACATTGTCACCTAATGTTAACATAGAGAGGAACACATTATTTAAACGAGTTTTCAAATTCGTTTTTATGATGATTAGGGATTATATCAAAGAGGCACTGCTGGGTAAGGGTAAGGGAGGGGCCCAAACTATCAGTTGGGTTACAGCCTGATGATACCACCTTGGTGTTATAAGCCTTTATATATATTAGAATGAGGGAACTCTCTCTATGAGTCCTTTGCTCCTCTGCCTACCTCCAGGGACAGCCCCACGTTCAACCCTGAGAGCTGGCAGTGCCCTGTAGCATTTCCACGGACCTTCGATCCACTCTATTCTACAGCTATGGGCCTGTGATCTCCCTGGTTGCTACTTTAACGTTCCATGTCATCAGTCTGCAGCTACCTGAGTCTGAAGAGGGAATTATGGGCTTGAGTTGGACTGGGCTGGTATACCTTTTTGATATATAATTATTTATTGATATAAAGCTATTATTTATAAATATATGAGCTCCACTTGATTTGTTTCTTTAGACAGCCCTGGCCTAATACAGTTTGTTTGTTTTATTCTAAACATTGCCAGCATTTTGAGATCTTTTAACAGATTATGTGCTTTAAGGCAGGCACTTTCAAACATAGCTGAGGGTAGAAGAGTTTATTGATATACTGGTTAGTCTACTTTACATTTTAAAAATTCAATTTTCTATCTTTTCCCTGTCCATTCATTCCCTGGAAAAAGTACCTGAGATGATGGGTGAGTCATTTACCACTTTGGCAGAAGCTGGGAGGAAGTAGCCTTAAAAATAATGTTTTTGGGAATAAGTGCTCAGCGGAGCACTGCACTTTGTTCAGGAAGCTGGAGAAGGAAAGACTATCTAATATGCTTAGGAGCAAAATAAATTGTTGCGTAGCCAGTTTCTGCCCCAAAATGGCAGGGGAAAGACACACAAAAGACTTGATCGGACTAATGTTAGATATTACTTAACCATAGTTATGCCAGGTCAGATGGAAAATAAAACAAAAGCTAATATCCTTATTTCAGTAAAATCATATAAGACAGTGAGAACACGCATAGGAGACCGTATCACACTACATTTCAAAATGCCCCCTCTCCTAGGAATGCAGTGAAGTAAATATTTCACTTTGGTCAAGAGGGAAAAGGATAGAGGGTAGATATTATCTTTAAGGCAGTTTCTCGTGCATGAGAAGAGATAAAATAGAAGCACAGTGAGATCTTTACAAAATAAAATCTCAGGTTATCCGCCTCTTCTTTGAATAATGCAGCTCTCACCCATTCTCCTTTCGCCAGTGCTCCTGTGAACGCACAGAGAGCTTTTGGGCTGCAGGTGATAATTTACATCCAGAGAGGGCGGCCTTTACTGATATCCTTCTGTGTGCCTGTTAGCTGCTGCAGAGTCAAGGAATCCAAGACTCATTGCTAAACAAGTTATTTGTGATTCACATTTATGAGCAATATTCAGTAACATGCTCGTTATCACCATCATCTTTCACTAGCATGAAGAATGAGGTACATTTAAATCTCACTTACAGCCTTTCAGAAAGAAAATCCATTTATATTCTGGACCTTAATGTCAATAGAGGAGAACTATAATTGCCATACTTACAGGCTTCCTATTAAGCTCCTCCTTCCATTTCCTATTCTTCCTTATATGTGCTGCCAAATGAAGTAGCCTTTATTATATCCTTCCCTGCTATTGAGCAAAAGTTGTAAAGCAAAAGAGATGCAGTGTGTTGGGATGCCAAGCTGAATACACACCCTAGATATTCAGCCTGCACTTTCAGTTTGACAGAGCACTTCTGCTCTGCTGCCTCTCCTTTTAGGCTTGATACAGCAGATATTCAGACATTATTCTCCAAACAATAATAACAGTTTACATCAGTAACACTTAACACAGTGCCCAGCACAGAGTTGGCACTCAGTAAGTTTAACATGCGAATGATTAAATTGGATTAAAATTCTTAATAAAAATGTCATGTTCTGAGACCCGCTTTCTTTTGTAGATTACCAGGACCTTCTGGTCTACTCCCAGATCAAATCAGAACCAATATGTATGTGGACATTTGACAAATGGCTGTTTGTAGAACAGATCACATCTCATTCCTTTCATGTCAGCTTAATTCTCTGTTTAGATTAAAACATTATTCATAATGCTTCTACATTCAACCTGAATCAGCAGGATCATTGGAGCTTTACACTATTACTTCTTTCCTTCAATCAGAAATTGTATTATTATGCTTTGTATGTACTTCCCTCTACCTACTCAAACATGCAAATTATATATGGAGACTGAAGATTGTCCAACACAGAGGCAAGGGGTACAGGAATGATGACGATGGCAGCAAGTTATATTTGATGAAGAATGAAAGGTACTATGGGAGAGCTTTATGCCAATGGTCCTATAAAGAAGCATCTAGTTTCAATATGTCATTGGCCACTTATCTCTGCTTAAAGAAGAATAAACTCCCTCAAAGCACACCTGCTACCCTGACAGCCTTTTATTTGATATGACAACAGGACCACCTGTCTGAATATGGGATTTCATAGTTTATATAACAAATGATCTCTGAAGTGTGGGTTCCAGTCCAATCTTTTCCAGAAATCATTGCCAGACACCATATGATGATTTTCCAAGGCTGGGCTTAGAACAATCTAATTCCTGCCGCTTACTCTCCTGACACGTTAGTACCCCAGGGCATATTTTGCAATTATACCCTGCAAATAAGAGAGCATATGTTTCAATTCCCCACATGTCTTTATCCTCAAACAAAGTCCCATGACAATCTTCCCTATTGTCCAGGGCTCCTTGTTAGGCGCTTGAAAATGCTCCTTCCACAAAGGAACTGCATGGGAATTGCAGGCAACACTCTTAGAACTATGTGTTTTCAGCAAACACTTCTCAAACCAGAGGGGAAGAAGAAAGAGCATCTCTGGTTTCTCATGATTCATCTCCTCATTATCTGAGATTATTATTAAGCAAACACAGTCAATGAGTGAGTTGGTTTTGCACACCCACACATGTGTATCAACAAGGATGTGTCCCAGTGAGGAAAAGAAAAGAGCTGAGTGCTGGCTCCGTTATCCATCCAGAAATTATTGAAAGTCTCCTCAGTGCCCAAGACAGAGTTTGAAAGTGAGCTGGAGACAAACACTCAGTGATTCGATGCGCATCTTAAATGTGGTGTGCATATGCTATTCTCTTTGAGAAGGCAGGGGTGTTTCCTTTTCATGGATGGATTCTCAGACAAAGGATACTTGGCAAATATGGCTGACTGACTCTATCTGCAATTGGTCTCCAATATTTGTCTGCTAGTTATCACCAGGCAGGAATACCTACAGACACTGAGTCACATTTAAATGAAGACCTCTACCTTGCCCGAAAACAATGACTTAAGAATAGTTAGAGAATTGGGAATTACGCAACAAGGTCATTGTTAGAGCTGCATTGAGAGAAATATATGCCTCAAATAGTTTGGAAGGAAGTAACTGGTCGAGAACAAGACAACATTAATCTACTTGAAATAAATTTCACTCTCAAATCACTAGCTACAAGAGAGAACAGCTAGCTGCAATTGCAGCATTAGACTAGTCCTATTAGTCCTATTTTAAAATTTTAGAAGGCACATTATTTGATTTGGAGTAGTTAGCCAAAGAGAGAAATCTGCCAAGGAACATGGCCCTAAAGGCCATGATTGCTAGTAACATTCATAGATCCAGTGGACTGTCTTTTCTCTTGTAAGTCAATAAAGCAATGATTCCGTTTACTACCTAATGCTCATTGCTCAGAAATCAGGAAAGATATTGGTCCCTTTTGCCATACTACTAGCTCTTAACTGGAATTCTGAAGTTGAATCTATAGCTAAAATGTCATTTTTAAAGTGATCTGGCTTAGACACCTTAAGTGTCCTGCTAAAACATCTAGAAAAATTTCTGCCAACGGAGAGGAAGAGGAATGTATTTAAGAACTACTTGTACTTACGCTATGACTCTGAAATTGAAGCTTATGTTCTCATCACTACTCACAATAGAGTAGCATTATAGCCAAGCTTATTGATATTAGATCAGTTCCTGATAAAATTACCCTCTGTGTTATTTCACAAGGTGCATCAATTGTTTTGGGGTATAAATACGGTTCTTAACGGCCATACCCTTGAGCTATGTCAAAGAATGTTCTCAATGCTTGCTTACCATGTTATTGAAAATACAATTCAAAAGGGTTTAAGTTTGGGGGAACCACCCAATTAGTTGGAGCAAATAAGACTATTAACTCTAGCTGGGCCCCAAACAAAGTGTTCAGTCCATGCTGAGATGGGAATTGTGAAATCTAATCTCAAGAGTTGGTGCTGGCTTGCTGTGTAAATCAAGTAGACTGACGGAACCACGTTATTTCTAGCTCTAACAAGGGAGTAGAAAACATCCCAACACAGATCTGATGCAAGATCGTAATGCAAATGTAAAATGGTTAGGCAAATGATAGAAAATACACACAGCACTCACCTGTATTTGGCATTACTAAGCGACCCCCTAAATGGCCAAAGACACCAGTAGTCCTTAGTTCTGTCCTTGTGGGGAGTGATGATAGATTTTGGATATATGGCGTTTTGCTTCTGGGATGTATGGTACTAAAGCCGCGGCTGTTTCCGTGGGGAAAAGTCCCAGGATGATTCTTGCCATGGTATTCAGCTCTGTCAGACACTCCCAGAGAAACCATGAATGAGCTCTGGACTTTGACTTTGATGTCTGTCAAAGGATTAAAGAGCGAAGACTCTGTCATGAGTTCCTTGTCCAGGGGGTCCTGTAGGCAGATGGGTCCACTGTATGTCCGGCTCACTGTCAGGTCTGGTTGCAGGGAAGAATTCAGGAGCAGAGAGTTACCTAGTAAATATAATAATCATTATAATTGATCTGTCACTCGAAACTACAAGGCACTCTTTTACATATACCTTTCCTAACAACTCGTAGTTGTCAGCTGTTCCACCCAGAGCGCTCTCTCTAGGCCCGACCTACATAACTAATGCGGCTGTCATGGGCTGGTCAGTAGGGAACAGGATCATGGACTCAGGGTGGCTAGCAACTGCAGTGGTTTCTCCAAATACCACTGACCAAATTATTCACTACTCAAGACCTTGCATGTGGTCTTCTTCAAAACCAGTACCTTTGGCATTCCTTCAGGAAACGGGCTCAGGTATTATTATTTATGTGATTATCATAACTGACAAAAAAGAAGCTAATTTTTTTAAAAGATGCTTTGCAATCCAGTTTGGCACAAAAATAACATCTGCTCATTTTACATGGCAGGAGGTGAGCCAGCATGGTGACTAGGGAGTGCTGTGTATAACGGAGGCTGCACGGATTGGAGCGCACTTCATGAGCAACTCTGGGTTTCTAGAACTAGGGGAGGAGATGATGCTCCTGAGAGCACAAGGGTCAGGGCAGCTCACAAATTGCTCCTTGTCTGAGTGGCCAATTTGCTCTAATAAGGCATCTGCTACTCTGAGAGTGCAGGGACACCACGGGGGAATGGTGGAGGACTCAGACTCGACTTGGAGAACAGCTTCAGATGGCTTCCTCCAAGTCATAAAACCAGGGAAAACAGCCATCTTTACAAACACCCGGGAAACTTTACTTTGTCATCTGTTGGAGCTCAACAATTTGAACTCAACAAAATTTTTTTAAATGCTGTGATCTTTTCTGGTGATGAAGTAATCTCATTTATTAGTAAATAACAAAACACCCCTCAGTCCCAGACCTCCCACCCATATCAGTCCGTCAATGTGACATCTCCAGTGGAACCCAAACCATATTAAACAAAACTCCTTTGGGGCCTTCCCAAAATATTTAAAGTATGATATTTCTGAAAATGCTGCACTACTAGGCCATATTGCATTAACCTCTACAGCGGTCCCATTTTCATAATTTGCAATAATGTCAGTCCCCCCAAAATCTATAATCCTATAACGTCTTACTCTGATGCTGTAAGAATCCACTATGAGGCTCAGAATGTGATGAAGTAATGCTGTCGATCTACAAGATCCTTGATGATGCATTTATTTCTAGTTTGAGGCCGTTGGCCCAAGACAGAGCACAATCAAAGAGCTGTGCTTTTTAATAGAACTGTATTGGGTTCTACCCTCATTCTTATTCAAGTTCTCCCTATGCAAGGAATGAGATTGAAGAACCAGCTTAGATCCTAAAGAGAGTTTTTAAGCACAAGAGTTTACATGTAAACATGAAAAATCCTTAGAGTCTCCAAGTTTATCTCACCTTCTGAAATTTAATTTTTGGCTCTGCTTATAAATCACTCTTAGCTTCTGGGAAGGAAAGAAGCAAAAATATCCCCTTTGAGTCAGGCAACCCTGAAATGCAAGGTGTCTGATTACATAAACATTTATATATGATAGATTCTGCAATTGAAGAACGTTGACTGCCAACTTGATTCAAGTCTTAGCAGAGGCAGTTCACCAAGTCCTCTCAAGCCTTTCCTTGGAAGCATTTGGTAAAGTCTCTGACTTTCCCTCAGTATGGCATTCTATTAAAAACTCACTCTTCCCTGCCCTGTTGCCCCGGCTTTAGTACTCAAGGAGGGAAATCTCTAATGCAGTGGAGGCAAAGTCACGACCATCAGTGTGAAGGTCAATGTGTTCCTCTCAGTGAACCTGAGGTAGAGTAGCATTTAGTAAGTAGCATTTTGTGAGATTCTTGGTGAAAAATAAAATTTTTAAAATGACCAAATATATTTGGAAAGGTAACATATTACTTTAGTGACTCATAATGTATGTAAAATTTGAGAACCTCTGAAGTAATCTCATTTATTAGTAAATATCAAAATAATCCTCAGTCCTGGAACTATGGAATTCAGCATGAGTCTCACTTCCTCCATATTGGTTACCTGTTGGTATTCTGTGCTGAACTAAGAAGCAACAGCCAGCTTTTCGAACTATGTTCACTATGCCTATTGGTTTGTCCAATTTTCCTAGATAATTTCATTCTTACAAGTCCCTAGTGAGGAGGAGGTTGGTGTCTCCATTTCATAGGCATAACCATTGAACCGCAGAGTGGGTATCTATTTAAGGCATGAAGCCATTTCAGGGCCCCTGGTAGCACTTTAGCTTAAAATGCTAAACTACTAATGAAAAGGTTATTTGTTTGAACCTTCCGGTCACTCAAATGGTGAAAGTTGCTATAGTCTGCTCTTTTAAAGATTTATAGTCTTGGACAACCTATACAGCAATTCTACTCTGCCCTCTATGGGCCTACGGACTGCAAGTTGAAGTCAATCTGATAGGAGTCGATTTTTTTCTTAAAAAGCAATTTTGGACCCAAAGTCAGATGATTTAAAAGCTTCTGGTCCCATATCTAACGCTGTCTTTCACACTATTACAGTTCCTCTATTTTCAAGTGTTATGGTTAAGATATGGATGTCTTATTATTTTGTAGAAATACATTTCTATGCACTTTACACAATTGATGTATGTATGGATTGTGATAAGAGTTGTATGAGACCCTAATAAAATGATTTAAAAAAATTAACTTCAATAAAAAAATAAATAAATAAGAAATAGATTTCTATTTATTACATGGCATAAAAAGTAGATCTTTTGAACGTATCACTAATTAAAACATACATATTAGCCTTTATACTGCAATGCACGCAGTATGCTCTTCTCTAGGGCCATGCAGATACCTCATACTGAGATACCCTGAAGTAAGTGACAAGGCTTAAACCTCTCCTGTCATTTCTATTCATCTCCCAATTTGTTTGACTAGCATGTTTGGGATTCAACTTCTGACCCTGTCTGCTCAAGCACTGCTGAGCAGTAAGACCTTTCCTTGCCCTGCGCCGCAGGCCCTATTGATACACAATAAATAGAACCGAAGCTGACAATATTGAAGATGAGAGTCAAGGTAGAAAACTTCATCCACTGCAGAGAGACAGTTTCATTTTTTCCCACTGAAATGAAAAAAAATGAATCTATGTCTCACCCCCATCTCATGAACAAAATGGATTTGGTTCACAGAAGAGAATTAAATGACTCTCTATTTTGAAAATGAGCATTCCTGTATTGTGACATGACAGATTTTCCCTCCCCAACCAAAAAAGATTGCTTGGATTTGGCAATAGCTGAGAATCGTTGAGCCTGAGAATTTCATTTTTCCCTCTTGGCTAACTGACCTATTATATATCTTCTAAACTCCTTTAACATGTAAAATAGAGGCAGCAAAAACAACCACACCTAATATGTCATATAGTAAATGTGCACTTGAGAGCACGTGATATAGGGGAGGATGGTCTCTGAACTTGAACAACATGATAGTAGTTCAAAGAGTTCATGGGGACATTGGGTTGCTTTTCATTTCGCTTTCCATGATCCTTTTGAAGACGTCTCATTGACACACTCATCGTGGGCTCCTTAAGATAGAAAGCTATATGATCTAAATAAAGTGACTAACAAAGCAATCAAATGCAAACAATGCCCCAATGGCCAACTGAGTTATGTTGGTCTTCGTAGCAGTCAAGCACTTACGCAGACCGCTTGATTGAGCCTGGTCTCCGAATGTACGAAGATGATTTGGCAGCGGCTCCCAGAGCCAAGAGCTACTTTCACACAGGGCGCAGGTGAACCCTGGGGCCCTGTGTGAGTGCAGTCTATGGCCCTGAGGATGGAGTGTGGCGGGTACCTAAGCCGCTGACCTTGACGGACTGTTTTGAAGTTGAAGGTCTGGAAGCCACCTGTCAATGCAGAAGAGTCAATGACGTCCACGCCATAGTCGCTCTGGCTCCGTCTATAAAGGGTGACACCAATGACCAGGACTGCAACAGCCACGACGGCAGCACCCAAGCCCGAGTACAGAGCAATGTCACTGGCATTCTCGATGCCTGAAAGACAGAAGAGAAACCATCAATGGTCAGCATCCTCCCCGGCTGAAGAGCCCCCCTGGGGAGTAAAACGAGAGGTGACTGAAGTTGTGAACTACTGCTCTGAGAAAATGGACATACGTCACCCAACACAAGTTGTGCTCCCCTTCCCACAAGACCCATGTGTCTAAAATGCCTTCTGTCAGTCAGGGGGCTGGTGGTCAAATAGCTGCCCTCCAGTCACACGTTTACCACTTAGTAGACTCTTGAAGAGAATCAACTGTGCAAAGGAAATAAATATATTTTTCCCTAGTTAAAAAAGACAACTCTATGATTTACTCATTTTAGGAAGTCATCTTTACCTGCAAAGGACTTTTGTTTACACTTTATTGTTATTCAAGGGAGGACATGAGACCCACAGACAATGACAAACCATGGGTGGACTGCTCTGCTCCTATAGGCCCTGGGTGCATGCATTCCTAAAGGGCCCTCTTGGGAAAGAAGATAGTGCAAACAGCCACGAGGTCAAAGGAGCAAAGCTCACAACAACACGTTTTAACTTTGGCACCAATCGTTCCATTTGAGAGGACAGTGGTTCACATCAGTTTAGCATATCCGATCGCGGTGCGGGAATGTTTGTTGTGAGATATGCAGGCCTCTGGTGCTAGGTGCTACAGGTCGATAACAAATGCTTTCTGGCACCACTTCAATGCTAGGTTCTAAGAGTGTATATTGTGAAGGAGAAGTGAACTCTGAAGGGGCACATGCTGTTTCTCCCATACCTCTCCTACTCCATCCTATTGAATGCATGGGCAAAGCAAAAATAAGAGCGTTAGTTTGGATTTAGAATTGGGGTGTCGCCCACCCCACCACAAAATGCTGTAACTGGTTTCCAACCCTTTGGCTGCATGTATTCTGGGCGTGCTTCTTTCCAGAGTGCATTCATAATGGCTACTGCGAGTCAGCATAAGAGATTTACCCGAGACCACATCACCCTAAAAGAGGCATCATCTTGGAAAGTGTGTGGAAATGGAGGGTGGCAAGTGCTAACTGCATAATTAATCTTCCTACAGATTATGTGGTAAGTACACTTAATAGGTCCAAAAGTAATTACTATGTCACCCAGTGTTGGGCTTAGAGGATAAAATAAGCCCATCGTCTATTTACCTTGTAATTGCACGGCACTTACTATGCATTCACTGCACCCTAATATGGCACTTATGTTATCAAATGAGTAATACTAACCACACGAGTAAAGTGGATTTATTTTCAACAAAGTTAGTGGACTGTAAAATGAGGTGCAACCGGATGAAAGCATGAACAAGGAAAGCAAGCAGAACCAGTTCAGTAAGCGGGTAGCGCACACACACAAGTAACTCTCAAATGAGAGGCCGGCCATCAGAAAGCTCAGTACCTGGAAGGCTACAGGATTATCACGTATTTTAAGACCCAGGAAAGCCAGGTGGGTGTTGAGAAAGAGTAGATGTTTCGACTTTAGTTCTGGCTTCCTAAGGATCCAAATGAGAGCGGGACCAGGATGGAGACAAGCTTCTCAGACCACTTAGAATCCTGGTGACTGACACCACCCTCTGAACTCCACTGCCTGTCTATGTCTATGTAGGAGAGAAACGCTCCCTGCACGTATCTCTCACCCTCCCCAGAGTCAATTTGTCTCAAGGCCAACTTGCTGGAGAACATCATTCTCCAGCAGAGAGAGGTCACAGAAGACAACAGATGCACCACGCCCGGGTGGTGAGGGCACTTTGGACCAATTGCTCTATGTTTCCCTTGGGCTCTATTGACTGATGACATAATCACCTTCAAAAGGTGTAACCAGGGAAAACACCTGTGCAGCAACTGAACACATATCGAGAAACAGCCTGACAGGGCAGGGAATGCAGCTGCTCTGCTGCTGAGTTGGCAAAGAAGAGACAAAGGCCTCTTTAGCTACCCAGGCCCTAAAATAAGAAGGGCCGGCAACCAGAGAACATGTCTCTGGAAAATGGACATCAATGGACATGATCATCCCGAAACAAAATTGAGTAGCAAAAACAAGTTATCTTTGTTCCCCTGGGTCCCCAGTTTGCCCTTTATGTTCCTCCTCTCGTGCTGCACAGGTAATCAAATTCTCATTCTCCCTCCAGACACATGTCTTGTTTTTAGCAAAATACCCTGTGTGTGTGTTCCGACTGAGATATAAAAGTTTCACAGGGCTATATGTGCTTCCTTTTCCAGGAATATTTTCAGAACCTAGTTGATTTAAGTTAAGAGAATGAAATATAAAACTATAGAATTTTCAAAAAGTGAGTACTTTGGGGGATAGAGTGGGAGGAAGAAAGGAACTAGAACGGTGTAGAAAGCAGTGACCCTTCCAAAGCACAGCCGAGACCACCTGTTAGGAACGGACGTCTCTAAAAGCTGGGAGTCAGTGCAGAGGGGTTTCTATGACAAGATAACAGAAGTGGTATTTAATTTACAGGAACAATCTTTTCTGAGCATTAAAAACTCATGATATAGTCATTGTATTAAAGCAGCAAGCATTTGGGGAGCGTCAACCATATAATAGGAGTGAGATGTGTCGATGAATCAACACATGATTTAAATCCTTAGTGTTTGCTGTCTAAAAACAGTGGAAGACTTGTCGGATTCTGGTACTCTCAACGCAGTTACAGAAGTCTGCTCCAGTCATCAAACCACAGGCTTACTTCTGAAGGATAAATATCTTTACCTAAAGCTCAAATTCATCTAATGGTCTTCTTTCTCTTTTTCTCCCTCCTCCTCCTCCTCTTCTTCCTCCTTCTTCCTGCTCTTCCTCCTCTTCCTGTTTACCCTCCTCCTCCTCCTCCTTTTCCTCTTGCTCCTCTTCCTCCTACTCCATGGAATCCATTGTCACTGCTCCCTCCCCTGGAAAATTCAATGAACAATAGGGCCACCTGGTGCAGTTGGCTCTGGGAGCCTCACAGCCTTCTCCTTGTCCACTCCTGTGCTCACATTCCTTTTGGCTGCACTACTGTACACCCTAACTTATAATTAATTTACCTACTAGGTAAACACCCACTGGTGAAAGACCCCTTGTATTCATCACTGAAATATTCTCCTGTCTCACCAGGCATCTAGTACCTACTCCTCTCTCTCTCCATTCATCAAGGGCCAGTCCAGCACCTCCCCTACCCCACCTCATGAAAGTGATTCTGTCTTCACCAAGTCGGAAACCCTGCTAACTTATTGTGCTCTGAACTCTTGTAGCAACATTATACTCAAAAGCTCATTTTTATCATATTTTTATTTTATTGTCAATTTTCCTAGTGCCAGCAAGTTAGTCCACATTTTAAATGCAGTAATGAGAATCCTATCATTTCTAACAAAGACTTGAAAACCATTATGTACAACTATTCATCAACTGCTTGCAGAGAACTATTACATGAACCACATCCTGAGGTGGAGCCTCTGCTGCAAGGCCCCACTTCTATTGACATTTATGCAGACAGATGTTTATTTAATGCTAGATCTCTTTTTCCCAGACACGGCATTGGTGGCGGGTTAGCTCGAAGTGATTTTTAGCAACTATGTGATGTCTTGCCCTTAAAAAAGTATTCTGCCTTTGGTAAACAAAATATTTTTCTGTGGTTTTACGTTTCATAAATAGGAGCTTTACATGTCAACAGGTTACTGGTGTATTCTCTGTGTCCTTCATCCATAGTCCCTATGTTCAAGCATCACGTAAACTTCAAACAAAGCTGGAAAGATCCAGTATGTGATTTTTTAAAAGTGTCTATCATCTACTAATTAAAAACAAACATGATTGACTGAGAAATCTCTTGTATTCCAAATGAATCAGAATTAGTGAGGGATGGAAAGAGTCCCTGGTCATGCTGTCTGGTAACAGCTACCTGCTAGTTGACAGTTCAAACCCACCAGCACAAGATGAGACTTTCTGCCCCTGGAGAGATTACAGTCTCAGAATCCTAGAGGGGGTCTTCATGAGTTGGGATGAACTTGATGGCAGTGGGTTTGAGTTTTTGAATTGAGAATAGAACTGATTGCTGGAAGAGGTATGGGGCAGCTGGAGAGAAAGACCACAGGGTTTAATAGAGAGTTGGAAACCAGGATTCTGCAGAGAATATGTTTATGGATTCATTTGGCCTGGAGAAAGGAGAGCTATAAAGTGACTTTGTGGTGATCTTTAATGCATAAAGGGCGGTTATAAAAGGAGAACAGACCCACCGTAGGTGCTCAGTGACCGCTCATTTATGATGAAGCGAGTAACCACCTCGCCATCATCCCTAACAAGAACTGAAAAGGAGGACCAGGGCTTTTATGATAGCAATTGAGACTCTGCTTAGATATGAAAATGACCTTTTCCACAATGAGGGTTGTTAAAAAACTGAACTGTATTTCTGAGGTAGATTGTGAAATCTCCTCTCACAAAGTCTCTAAAAAACCAGCACAACTTTACAATAGTCTGCAGTTATTTTATTTTATTTTTTCTCCAAGCTGGTGAGGAGGACTAAACGACCTTTCCAAGTCCCTTCAAATTTCTTAGTTCAACAAATAGACATTAACAAACTTAAAGATGTATAATGTATGATAATCACACCTGCCATTGGTAGGAACCAATGCTTCCAAAGGACTAACCAGAAAGGCTGCCCACTTGGTTTGCCTTTCTGTTGATACCTTCTTTCTGACTGAAGGCAAACAAATGACCTGTCTTCATTAGCAGCCCAATGCTTAATCCACTGAACCACTAGGGCCCCCTTTGGATATGTAAGAGTCCGTGGATTTAGGACGGAATCCACAAAGCGGGGCTGAGTGATGTCCTCCCAAAAGAAGATGAGGCCTCAGTTGCCGTATCAGTTCCCACCGAAGCCCAAACTACAGCCACCCAGCAGGGTGCCCGGGTGCAGCTAATGCTCTTGACAAGCAGTCTCTCTGCCAAAATATCTGACTGCATGCTGAAATACAAGATATCAACATTTTGTTAGAGTCACTTGCATTTGCTCCCCTCAAGAAGGAAAACTTAA